TCGTTCTGCGTCAGGTATTTTCAACTCCTTCATGGCCGTCTTCATCTCGCGAAAGTGTCGCCATACATTTTCCGGTGGTATAATGAAACATTCTCTTTTGTGACGATATTCATATCCAAGTGTCCGTGCATTGGCACTCAACTCACTGTAATCCAATCCTTGAAGAAAGGCGGTAGAGATGTCCAAACTCTCCGTCTCGATGTCGTAGGGGTCGTCCGTGTCGCTCCACAGGATTCCGTTGCAGAGTCCCATGGGAACCACTAATCTCTGTGAAAGTCGCGTCGCCGTGCTTGAGTGTTTCTCAAGCAACTGCTTTTGTTTGTCGAAACATCCTCTGGCGCATACACGTGACTTTACCTTCTTGTACTTGATAGACCACTTGCGAACCCAAACGCAATCAACAACATTAGCTCCTTCTGGAAGATTCTTTCGTAGGCGTGGTACGAATACTTTGCGGTTGCAGAATGCTTCCAATTCTCGATGGTCTGCTTCGTCTATAAGATGAGGATAACGTCGAAGATCTTCTTCTGTGAGCATCATGCTGTCGTCTCCGGCCTTGTACACATCTCCAGTGTAAAGGTCTAAAAGAAATTCCTGTTCTGATGGTACACCAATGTCCAGGTTCTTGAGCTCGCCAATCAACTCTGAGATCATGGTAGTTGATAGTTCCTCTTCGTTTGTCTTCCATTCGTTGTAGAAATCATAGATCGGCTGTGCTCCACACTTTGTGAGTAGAGCTTTCATTATGTCTCTGTCTGGTTCTGTCATAGAAATCTTTCTTGAAAAATGCTGCGATGATTCTCCTTCTGCCGATTCTTGTTGTTCCGGCTGGGCCGGTTGTGATTGAGCTTCATCACTTGCGATGGGAAGAACAGGTGGGCCTCCTGCTGCTGGTCCAGGTGGTCCCGAAGATGGAGATGCTGAAAGATCCGGCAAGTCGTTGTTATCCTTGTTCTTGATGTCTTCCTTATTGATGATCTCCTCGGTGTCGTTGATCTTGACTTGCTTCTGAGGAGGCGGTTTAGCTGTGGTCGAGCTCTCGCTGCTGCTGTTGTGGTCTCTCTGGGAAACACGGCTGTCGTCCAATCCACCAGTGTTGCTGTAGTCTAGGTCACCTGTATTGTTTATGTCTTCAGGATATTGTACTGTCGTCTGAGAACCATGTGAAGAACGTGACCTTGATCGATCAGAGGGAGCATTGTCTTCCCCTGGTGGAGTTGATGGTACTGCTGGAGGTTCGTAGTCTGCCTGTGGCTGTGGAGTAGCCAGTGTCGGTGAAGCTGCCGTTGTAGTCTGTCCTGAAGATGAACTCGATGCTGTCGTGGATGGTTGTGTCATTGTCGGTCTAGATGGTCCTGTTGATGACGAACTTGTAGACTGTCCGGTACTGCTGCCATATGGTTATATCCGGTGTCTTGCTGGCTTTGGAGATGGTGCCCACGTAGATACATGAGTCTTCCAAGGCGTAGGATGTGGAATAGTAGCTCTCGCCGTAGCTGGACTAATAGGTTTAGCTGTCGTAGTAATGGGCGGTCGTGCAGTAGTAGTCGGTGTCATCAACGATTCTGCATTTTGAGAAGGTCCAGGCTGTCGCGGCCCAATTGACATAGGTATTGCAGGAAAATGTACCGGTTGTAGTGGTTGTGATGATGATCCTGCTGATGGCACCTGTGGTCTCCATGAGATAGGTGGTGCCACGTCGAAAATGACTGTTCCTGATCCTGGTGGACCTGGCGGTCCTGGTCTTCCGTTGGAGGAAGTTGCAACATCGTCCATTGGTTCATCTGGCAGTGTTGGTCGTAGCTGAGGTAACGTAGGATTCTGGCCCGCAGGGACCTCAATCGATTTCTCCGGAAAAGATGAATCCTGTGGTTCGTCCAATGATTCGTCCGTACATATCGGTACTGATGAAGCCGGTGGTGCAGGCGGCGCCGGTGGCTGCCCTGATGAAGTCGCGGCTGGCAGATAAGCATCGGAATCGTGATCTTTCTCTTCTTCTTCCATAGGTTCTGAAGAAGGTGTATGTTGTACTGGTTGTGATTGTTGAGGTGCTGCAGGTGGTGATCTCCTGCGAGAAGGCGAGCTGTCGTCATCATCTTGTTGATCCATGGCTGGCGAGGGTGCGTCGTTCATAGGCGTAATACTTGAGATGTCACTCCAATCCATGTCAGGTACCAAATCATGTTGTAGTTCTTCCTGATGATCGAAACTGCATAGAATAACTGTTGACCAATTTTCAAATTTGTCTGCCCTGAAAGTCATGGTAATCTTAGGCATGTATTGCTTGATGTAGTAGTCCTTCCTGTCTCGACGATTCCATCTGAAAATAACTGCCCACATTGCCTGTGAAATAAATGGTATTCGTCGAAGGCTGGTGCCAAATAGAACACCATGAGCTCTTGGAAAGACTGCTTGAAATAATTCTTCACACATTTTGAGAACTTGGCATCGGTCAACTGATTCTTGATCGGGAACAAAGATATATTCTCCATCTCGACAAACTTTGCCAATCCATCGTAGTTTTCCTGGCGGTTCTCCGTCAATGATGTCCATGAGCGCATTGGTCAATCGTACCTGCTTATCGTCACTGGATTATTTCGCTGGTTCTTGTTCTGCCTCAAAGATACTCGCCTCTTTGACCACGTGATAGTTGCAAAAGAAATCCTCTGAATACTGATCAAGAGACTTGTGGAAGAACTGTGAGAGAACATGTCGTCGCATGTGTTGTAGAGGTATCAGCAGTGGTTGTCCTTGATGTCGTATAATAGCTGATCCAGCCAGTCGTTCCACTGATATCAGTTCTGCTGGTCCACGCCAACCGTCGTCTTCTTTCCTCTTGGGCTGTCTCCAGTAGTCGATGATCGTACCGGGCATGAGCAATTCATGGCTGTGCTTGTGTTGTTTGATACGCGACGCCATGGCCAGTCGGTCTTCAATGAGTCCTTGAAGAATACATTGCTTTGCCAACATCCTGGTCCTCATCATCTGCTCGATGTAGTCTGGCCTCGAACTCAATGCTCCAACACTAGATTCCAGTGTCTCCGTATCTGGAACATACCATCCTCGCTGTTCAACTCCTGTCAGAGCCATCTGAGGTGTTCCACCATTGTATTCCAAGAGTAGGTTCTGCGACATGCAAACTTCTTGACAAATTTCTCCTGCTGTGATGTCGATTCCTGCGGACTGTAGTTCCTTCTTCAACTTTAGCATGCCAATCTTGGCCAGGGCAATGCGTCGTTCAACCAATCCTTTTGTTGAGGAACCGTCGCGTCCGACAAGTAGACGTGCGATCGAGAGTCTGTCGAACATCCGCGTTGCTTCGTCGCTGAGCAAGCCTCCTTCTTGATCTGAGAGCAAATGTCGCATAGGCCCCCAGAATCTGATCCACAGACGATAAAGTGCTCTAACAAGTGTAGGTCCGAGTTTATTCTCAACATGATCTCCTGCTTTCCAGCGAATAGCCTCGTCTATGAGCAACATAAAAACCAAATCCCACATGAAGAACAAGTCGCGTTGAACAACTTCGTTGAAGATGGTGGAAAGTTGAGACTTTATCGATGGCGCATGAAGATGTCGCTGCTGTGACTGACATATGGAACAATCTCGAGCAATTTGGACTCCTTTCAGAATGATGCCCTTCGGTAACAGAGCTGCCTGAAGAAGTCGCAACATGTCCTTGGGAGAATTGTGCCAAAATCTTTCATGAACTCCTCGTAAGAGTCGATCCTGCTCTGCTGGGGAGGCCTTCATCAACTTGCCAGGTAGATCCTTCAGATCAACACTGGGCTTGATCGCGTCAAGACGTCGCCCAGACATTTTCACAATTTCTTGACCTACTCCTTGGGAGTCTTGACTTCCAGAAGGTTGTACTGGCGAAGGTACATGAGAAGCTGCGGTCTTTCCAGTGACTCTTCTTTTGGCATATTGTCGATGTCCTTCGGGCTGTAATTCTCCAAGAAGTTGTACCAGGTAACGCGCATCATCATGAGGTAACTTCTTCAGAGTCTCTGAACTGCAACTCTGCCAATCAGGTAGAAATTCAGCTCGTACATTACCATCTGAAAAACCATAGAAGATCAATCTGTCTTTCGAGGCATCGGCTGCGATAGGTCCGTCATAAACGTATATCTCCTTCGGCCAAATTTCCGCGTCCAGTGCTGTGAATACGAAAACTTCGTGAAGCAGATGGTGTAGAACATCTCCGGCTGGATTTTCCATTCGAGCTCCAGGAATCTTGAAAACTCTGGTAGTTGAATGTCCTGGAATAGTTGTCCTGGAAGAGTAGTCCACAAGATATTGTATGCATGCCTTGAGCATTTGTTGGTCGAGTCCTTCCAGAAATTTGCAGTAACCGCAGTTCATTGTGATATGAGAAACCTCCATTGATTTCAAGAGATCGCGTAGATTCCTGCGGTCCAGGATCTTCTCGTTGGTAGTGATTCCAGGTACTGTTCCATCATCATCATCTTGAGCTGGTTGTATTTCTTCTGCTGGATAATTCTGGTGCGAAGTCTTCTTGGAAGACCTGAGCAGAACCATGATGTCTTGGCAAAGGCTTGAACAGAATCTTCGTGAATATGCTGCAGAAGCTGCCGTTCGTTTTCTGTGTTGATCTCGATCGTAGCCTTCAAGTTGTTCATGTCCGTAGTAGCATCTGCACTTTCCAATACAGCGTGTCAACTCGAACGAGCTCTTAAGTTTCGTCTCCTTCCGATGTCGCTGTCCGTCAGGTAGAGAAGAAAACCTGCACATGTCCGTAGAGTATGTGTGTCCATTGAACTTGTCATGATGCTGTAGTGCTGCCAATGGTGACTTGGTCCATATGGCTGACGACTTCGGATTCTCGAATATTCCATGTCGATCTTGTTGAGCATTGTCACAAGCGTTCTGCAAGATGAACTTTAGCATGCCTGTTTCTTGTTGCCTTTTGTCTGCAGTAACTTATGGATCTCTGCTGCTGCCCATTCGACTCCAGTATTTGCATCTTGGTTCATAAGTAGTTACCATTGGAAGAAAGTGTTGATCGGCTGTATGTAGTAGCTGCTGATGTTCAGGAAGACGTAGGTCCCAGCCGTAGCGTAGGTCCACAGGGAATAGAACGAGAAGGTTGAAAAGGGGCAGAGAGCATGATTAGAGCGAGTCGAGAGGATCCTGAACACCATGTCCATAGTGAAATTATCGGTAGTCTGTCGCCAAAGCATCCGGAGAGCACATCCGTAAATTGAGAGAAACAGGATGGAGTAATAACGGGTAGATCCTTGAGCGTGGTGTAGCACATCTCTGGGATGGCTTTGAACTCACTGTTGGCCTCGTTGAGCTCGTCAGGAGAAAGAGAGGAAGGAAACATGGGTGTCCCTGTCCAGCGCGGTGCTGAAATAGTACTCCATGCATGTAGATATCGTTGAACTGTGGAATTCCGAAATGAGTACAACTCGTGGCCAAACAGTTTCTCGTCGTGTTCAGGACCTATTGAAAAAGCGTCGGCCTCGGGGTCGAGTCCTCGCCGTCATGTTCTGTGTAGAGTCCTGCAACAAATGCTGTCGATACTGGCGCATTCTGAGAATACTGCTGGTAGGAGTAGAAGTCCATGGTGTTGGACGGTGGCAGTTGCCGCTGAGCGGCACGTCCAAGCTGCTGTTTCTCGTTCTTCACGAGTCGGTCCTGCTTCCAGTCGCGCGGCTTGTTGAACTGGTCAATAGGTAGTAGATAATGTCCTGAATCTGTCAACAACAATCTCTGAGCACAAATCGAACCGCCCGTTGTCCTGATGCCGAGCAGGCCATCGTTGTTGGCGAAATATCCGCAACATATGATGCATCCAGCATTGAGTAAACTCACCAATGGAACCAGACCAGGGCACCTTGATGATATTCCTCCGAGAACGTCGGCTGCGAAGGTCGCGTTCTTGATGCCCTGCAAGCCGATGGGAAAACTTACCAATGACAATGACTTCTGTGGGTCTGCCGTAATGCCAGTGAACTTGTTGATGCTGGGCTTCCACTTTACGAACTTCTCAAGACGCCTGGGGCGTAGAATCTGTGCTACAATATCTGCAAAAGTGTCTGTGCCAATCAATCCTCGTGAAGCTCCAGGGTCTATCAACAAACCATGCGCCTTGAGGCCTTTGATCACCGTGAAGTTGTGAAATCGGTCACTCTGGTAGACCATGCCTTTTGCGATGAAGCTGCCGTGCTCCTGGGGAGCATTGGTAAGGTGGACCTCCTTGACTTCTTCCTCGTCGTCGTCCTCGAGGATAGCTTCCGGGATAGAGCCAATCTTCATCCATGATGATGGTGTCCTGCTCAGTGTAGGGCTTGATGCTGATGTGGGTCCTTCTTTGAGTTCTTCTCCGAGGTCTGTGGCATCCTTGATGGGGCTTGCCGTACAGTCGAAGCACAGGATCTTGCTGTTCGACGAATTTAGGAATGAATGATCTGAACAGCATTGCTTCAAGCACGCGGCGCAAATCGCTGTCGATACCTTCCAGCATGTGTGACATATCCTCGGTACTTCCAGGCTCGTCGATGTCAATGGGACGTAGAGAGGTTCGCGCAGTCCTGGAGGACGGCTTATCTCCATGGGTCCATTCGAAGAGGATGAGGCTGAGTTTGTCGTGGTTGTTGCAGGCGCTGCTGATACTGCTGGTACTGATGTCGCTCCTGGAGGGTCCGGTCCGAAGATCAGCTGGTACGCTTTTCCCGCCTTGTGTCTCTCTAGCTTCCTGTGATGGTCGCCATCCGACTCTGATGTAGGAACAAAACCAGAAGGACTGTCCTGATCATGTTGTGCTCCATCTCGTGCACTTGTCGTGGGGAAGGTTGCGTACATCTGACCGTAGTTGCGCTGCTTGTAACCGTTATTGGAAGATCTCTTGCCCTTGCCTTTTTTATTCTTGCCTCTGAAAGATAATCGTCCAAAATCGCTGCGGCCCATTGAACGTTGTCCTTTTCCGCGTCCTGGTTGATAGCGTGGCCCGTGTGGTCGTCGATCATATCCTTTTCCTCGAGAACCTCTGAGAGTGGGCTTCCAAGATCCTTTGCGGGTCCAATATTCTTCGTCTTCTTGAGGTCGATCGGAATCCGCATGATGTTCTGATTCGTGCTGTCCATTGGAAGATGCAGGTCCTGAGTTCGTCTTCATAGGGCATTGTTCCGTAGCGTGCCACTTGCTACCACACTCCGTACACTGATCGCCACTAGATCGTTTTCTTCGTCCTTTATTGTGTTGTCCGCGTTGTTGATGGTCGCCGTATCCTTTTCCTTTCCGAGACTTTCCTCCAAACTTCTTGCCTTTTCCGCCGTAGTAGTCTCCGTGGTCCTCTCTCTTCCTTTTTTTTCTATTTCTTGTGTTCCGTATTAGTCAGGATATTTCTTCCTGCCATTCTGACCAATCATCACCCCTTTCCGTTTTTTATTTTTTTTTTATTCTTTTTTCTTTTTTTTGTTTTTTTTTTTTTTTTTCTTTTTATTTTTTTTTTCTTTTGTTTTTTTTGTTTTTTTTTTTTTTTTTTTTTTTTTCTTTTTTTTATTTTTTCCTTTTTTTTTTTTTTTAATTTTTTTTTTTTTTTTTTATTTTTTTTTTTTTTTTTTTCTTTCTTGATCGTCGTAGTACTCCTCTTCAGTCCAGTCTCGACCAGAATCGTAATCATACCAGTCGTCATCCTCGTTCCAGTACTCCTCGTCATTCCAGTCGTCGTCGTCGTACTCCTCAGTGTTGTACTGCTTGTATCCTTGGGACTGGTCGTAGCTGGCGGACTCATTCTTGGAAATCTTATCTGGAGGGCTATCATCTCTCTGTAACGCGTGAGGTCTCCGCCAACCTTGAGTCTGAGATCTGCGAGCTGTCGTTCTGCAATGCCTGAGCGACTGAAGAAGAGCCATGCTTTGCCACTGTCACCAATGGCGGGTTTCAGAGACTACCATCTTCTTTTTTCTCTACCTTTTTGTATTATTGTTTCCTTTTTTTTTCTTCTTTTATTTCTTTTTTTTTTATCTTCTTCTTTTTTTTTTTTTTTTTTTCCATGTTTTTCTGCTTCCGAGTAGAGGCGTTCCCATTCAACAACGTACGTGGAGAAGTCCATGTCGTAGGGTTTGACGAAACAGAAGAATCTGTCCAGGCTCGTCCAGGCGAGATCCTGGTCGTCTAAGTAGTAGAGTTCCGTGAGCTTCGCAATCGGTACTTTGACTCCTGAAGGGCACGCTGGAGCAAGACTATTTCCTGCTTGGTCATTGATAGCTGGTTGAGCGTCAAGAGAAACTGCCTCGATCCCTTCGTAGGTCGTCTGCGCAAGAGTCTGGGGATCTGGCCTCTGAATAGTCAGGCCAATTGCAATCCTTAGAGCTCCTCCTTCCAGTCGTGACATGATCGCGGGTCCTATCTGTTCTTGATCAAGCTTGGTCAGGCGGCCCCAGATGGCTAAGTATTCTTTGTACTCCTTGATCGGGTAAGCTCTGGGTCTCCATCCTGGTGGCACATCCTTCGTGTATTGCCGAAGACCAAGCTGAGAAGTTGCCGTCGTCTGCTGCATTGTATTCGAATGATACTGTAATGAAGTAGATGGTCTCGAAACCAATCCGTTGTCCTCGGTATCTGATGTAGATCTGAAACCGTTCTGATAGTTGTGGTCTCGATGTAGATCTGAAACCAATCTGTCTGCTGCACAGGCCTGACAGGTGCGCGCGCAAGCGTGCGGTCCGTGGACAGAGCCTCCGTAGAGGCTCCGCTACCAAACTCGGGATATCGATGAGAATCGTATCCAATGAGAATTGATGAGAATCAATTATCTTGATAATTAAGAGTGAATCTGTTAAAGATATCGGATGAGATCTTTCTTCGCTAAGCCAAACGGCTACAGTACGTAGCAAAGCAGCAGGCAGTCGAGCAAGAGCTTAGCCTGGAAGCCTAGCTTTGGGACGTTAGTCCAGGGGCTCCCAAGAGGCTCTTTACAGGGACCCGCTCGAAACCTATCATACATCAGAATTCTAACTGCGGGACCCCCCCCGCTAGGAGGACCCCCCAGTCTTCCCCAGCACCCTGGGTCACCCCCCCCGGGCTTCCTCAGGGACCCCCCCCCCCCCGGCCAGGGAAGAGAACAAGGGAAGGAACAACTTTTCGAGTCCATTTATTTTCGTTAGGAGGATGAGATGAAGGAGGAGGAGGAGAGTAGGAGGAGGAGGAGGAGAGGAGGAGGATGAGGAGGATGAGGAGATGAGGGAGGAAGAGGGGGGGGAGGGGAAACGAACGAGAAGGATACGTTGGATACGACAGGAGATGGAGCGGTGCCACCAAAAGACGACTAAGGAGGAGGAGTGGTATTTGACCGGGGACCCCCCCCAGGACCACCCAGGGGACCTCCCCGACCTACCCGGAGACCCCCCACCAGCCCACCCAGGGACACCCCAGGACCCATTGGAGGGAAGGTGGTATTATTCTGACACGGGGACACCCCCGGGAAATCACGGGACCAACACGGGCTTCCCCCGGGCCCCCCCCCCCCCGCCCGGCCGGGGAAGGGAAGGAAGGAAGGGAAGGGGAAACCCTTCGAGCCAATTTATTTTTACGCAGGAGGAAGAGATGAAGGAGGAGGAGGAGGAGGAGGAAGAGGAGGAAGAGGAGGAGGAGGAGGAGGAGGGAGAGACGAACGAGAAGGAGACGGAGAAGGTCGGAAAGGGAAGGAGGCGCGGACGAGAAGAACGACCCATTCCACGCGCCGTCACGGTCGGCGGCTTTTATTGTTTGTTCGGCCTCGGGCGAAGGCAGCCCGCCGGGGGGGCGCGCCCGCCGCCCGCCCCCCCCCGCGCAGGCCTGGGGCGCCCGCGAAGCGGAGCAGGGCCGCGGCCGGCAGCGGCGCCTGAGGGGCCGAGCCTGGCCCGCCGCCGCCGCCCGGCGCGCTGCCTCCTCGGGCGGGCCTCCTTCGGGGAGGGAAAGAAGGACGTACATGTACATGAATCCCTGCTGTTTTCGGGAGCACGCATTTCACAAATGTTCGTATAACGCGGCCGGTCTCGCGAATCGAGGGGCCGTGTTCATGTACATAGCTGGGCGCGTACGCCCTTTGTGGGCTCCCTACTCCCAGGGGAGGAAAGTGAGAAGGCGAAAAGCCACCCCCAGCCCCAGACGTAAGTCGGGCCTGTCCCTCTACGAGGGGGAATATTCAAAAATAGTCAAAAATAGTTTGTCTGTTTTTTCAGTACGTTTGCCCATTTTGAGGGGCATTTTTGCATTTTTAAGAAATTTGTCATCGAAGATCCCCCTGAAACCAACGCGCCTGTCGTCACGATACGAACCCGCCCCGCACTATTTGGTCACTCCCCTTGGGCGCGAAAGCGATCGGGCCCCGAACGTCGCGGCCTGGGTCAGTGCGGATGCCATTCTCCACGGCCTGGAGATAGCCGCTCGTCGCGCGGTGTGCGATGCGCGAAGTTAGGTGGCTTGCGCAGGTCGGACCGAGGTATACGATCGAGGTCGGTTCGGGGAGGTTGCCCTATGTAATACCTTTCGTGCTTGTCGGATGTTATGGTGCATCATGGCGAGGGTACCCTTCGATGTTCTGTGTGTTTTGGCTGGCGGAGGGTCTCATGTTCTTGGAATGTTTTTTGCCCTGGGTCCGACCGTACAGAAAGGGAAGGGTACGGAAAGACCGACAGCATTTCTGGCCCATTTCAAACAGGACGCGGTGTCGGAGTTGCCGCGGACGCTGTCCACTCGACACATGAAGTCGCCTGCCCTCGGCCGCCCTCTGTCGAAGCTTGGGCCACGCTCGCAGCGTGCCCTGTTGCTTCCGTACTTTGCACCCTTCCGGTGTCCAAGGCGGTCTGCTCACCCGTATCCTTGCCTTGGCCCCCTGGTAGAGCGCCCCCTCAGGCCACTGGCAAAGCCATAGCCAGGCCAATGTCTGATCTGGCATGCTCGGCAGGCCCGGCACCCCATCGTATCAGCGTCGAGCCGCTAGGACGGCGAAAGCGCCTATCTGACCTCAGACCCCTCTCTCCTCCACCAAGGCAGGGGGATGTTCCGGGATATTCCCTCATTTTGGGGCACTGGACATCGAGAACAGAAGAACCCCTAACCCGAATAACACGATGAAGACGTGGCCTAACCTAGGTCCTCCTCTTCGCATTAGGGATCGTAACTCTGGACGGTTTAGTTTCATACTCTGCAGAAATGACCCTTTGTCCATAATGTCTTTGCCCTTC